ATTATATAATTAATATATATATATATATATATATATATATATATATATATATATATATATATATATATATATATATATATATATATATATACATATATATATATATATATATATATATATATATATATATATATATATATATATATAAATCTATCATTGCACTTATTAATATGAAACAATATATTTTAATAAAAGAAATGTAGATACGAAAATATGCTTTAATGTATATAATATATATATATATATATATATATATATATATATATATATATATATATATAATATATATATATATATATATATATATATATATATATATATATATATATATATATATATATATATATATATATATATATATATATATATATACGTTAAAGCATATTTTCGTATCTACATTTCTTTTATTAAAATATATTGTTTCATATTACTAAGTGCAATGAGAGATTTTTAGCTGTTTCAGCAGTGATTAGTAAAGGAATAGGTTTTTTGAAAAATTGTATTATTGTAACTAATAGTTGTCTTTTAACTTTTACTATTATCAGAGAACTTTATTTACTCCAAGTTTTATATTATGTTTTTAATGTTTTTAAATAGAATACATTTTATCGTATACCAAATGATTTACTAAAAAAAGCGTGCTTTTAGCTGATTCTTACAATATAATTATTGTTATAATAATAGTTTCATTATTTTAAGAATACCATTAATCATTTTTTTATTACTATGTATTTTAAGATGTTTACTAATTTAATAAATTTCAATAATTTTCAACTATTTCGACCTAATTTTTTTTTCACATTTTATTCACAATTTCATAAAAGAGAGATAAGGGAGAAGTACTATTAGGGATAGGATGGCCCGACTCTTGTTGAATGTTTATTTAGGGCTCAAATTTGATCCTTTTTTTTAATACCAACGACTTGCTTACGGTCATTCAGGCATAGCGAAACCCATTAATTAGTGAAAATTGGATTTTTTTTTATATTTGTGATTATGATTCGAAGCAAAGTTTTGGACAAAAATTTATTTACTACCTCCCTGCCACCTCTTGCAGGATTACGTAAATGATTGGTTCGAGCAAGCACCAGTAGATGGTGCCACCACTTTTCGAACATCGAAATTATTTGTGGCGTCATGGTTCTTCGAGTTGCTGAACTAATTGGTTTGAGCAGCAACCAATAGATTGCGCGCATGGGCTAATGATATAATTGCTCGTTTAATGATGGAGTCAGTTCGTTGGACTAATTATTTCAGGAATTATGGTCTAAATATACAAACATCTTAATTATAAAGAATTTATTTTACATTATGTACTGTGATGTACTGGGCTTCAAATATGAAAAGATTTACAGAAACCTTCAAATAAATTATGAGCATTAGTTCATATTATATATACATATATATTTCTTCTTTTTCTCTAGAAATTGAATGTAAAAATATATCTATAAATATAAAACATCCACAATTTCCAACATATTGCGTACATATTGAAAATAGGGAGAGAACTTCGCCGATATTTTTTCTTCTTCTTTCTTACTATATGTCTACTTAAATAGTCTACACTCCGCCAGAGTAGACATTTTCAGACAGCCCCTTTTAAAATAACAAACAACCGAGAAATCGAATAAATATTAATTAATTAAATAATGAATTGAAACAATCATGCCTAAACATAGAACAAAAGAATCCGATATGCTAATGGAGAAAGATCCTGATGTTGGTTCAGTAATTTCCCCGCAGAGTCCGCCGTACACCGAGTTACACTTCAGTCCGTTCGGGCACTGAGAACATGGTGCGCCTTTCGTGTAAACCGGATCCTCTACAAGCAAAAATATTCCTTTACCTTTTTTAAGAATTTCAATTCCAATTTAAAATTAAATACGCTGCAAGATGCGTTAGCCAAAAGAAAAAAAGTGTACGTAAATGTTAAGGTCCGCAAACGGTTTGATTCGAATTTAATATGAATTTCGAAATAGCTGATTCAATGAAACCCAGACCAAACGGAATGAGGTATTTCTGATAGAAATGGTTTTTCAAATATTTGGAACTTAAAAATGCTTTAAATTAAAATCGGACAATACATTCTATCGCAAATTTACTATTTTGAACGATGATGAACGATAATATCATTTACTTGGCTTAAAAAAAATGCAAGAGAAAGAAATTACATGTCGAATGTTATAGGCAATACTTTATATATAAATCATGTATTTAGAGTTGCATATCATTCACTAGGTACATGTCCTTTCGTTACGTTGCCAGCAGTGTGAGTCGCTTGCATTGTCGTCTTTGTAAATGTTAAGTCAGCATTCAAAAGCATTTTTCGTGAATTGCTTTTTATTTAGTTTCCACGGTCTTCAAAACCTAAATTACACTATTAAAAAACAGTAATTGAAGCAGAATCAGCAGAACAAAAACTACAAGTAAAAATATACTTAAATATTAATCTAATATTAAAAGCTCCAACCTTCTATTCATTTAACATGTTTGAGATAAATTTCGCAAAATTATCAAACATTCGTGATATTTTTTAATAAGAATTTGAGAAATAAATGGCCCAGTTTTACCGCATCCTGAAAGTAACGGAGGTCATTTCTCTTGATAAAGTATACAATTAACCACGATCCAAAACAAAACAGAGGAGTTATTAAAACACTAGTCGACAGGGCAACTAGAATATCCGGTCCACAATATCTGTCAGAGAAATTAGGACATTTAGAGAGAGCGCTTCAAGCAAATGGCTACAAAACCAACGAAATAGAACGGGCCACAAGACCGAAGAAACAGAATATGCGGGAGCCTAACAAAGAAACGCCTCCGGACGGTTTGCTTTTCCTCCCATATATCGGAGGAGTAACGGACCGGATCGGCTAAACAACGGAGGGACATAACATAGAGCCAATTTTTAAACCCACAGCACAAATACAACAATACTTAAGATAGGCCAAAGATCCTGTAGCTTGGGACAAATAGAAAAATCGACTGTCTACAGAGAAACATTACCACACAAGACTACATCGAGAGGCAATTGAAATACACAAACAAAAAAAACAATTTTAACAAACGTGAAGAGGGGTTACAAGTCAACAAAATATGACATAACGTCTTGCAAAAAACTCAAACAAAACCTTATACTATCACACGGGGGGGGGGGGGGGGCTCAAACGTTCAGTCCGCCGTCCGTCCGAGCGGTTCGAAACACGTGTGACTTCGACAACCGGCAACAGTACCGATACAGTCGTCGCGCTGGCTGCCGCAGTAGCAGCTGAAAGCTTTGGAAGCAAAACCAATGGACCACGGCCTAACAGCAAGGAAAATCTCACAGATGACACCGGCCGTGAGGGCCAAAGCAATTAAATTAATCTAAGTTTGAAAATTGTTAGAGAGATATATAATGGAGTAGGTGTTGATAGACGACTTGTCCGTCAAAGTTGAAATTCTGAACAAGAGTATAAAACTTAGTTTTTGCTTAACAGTTTTCGTAATTGCGAATCAAAAGATTTCAACAACAACTTGTGGACAAATTGGCGATTGTGATTTAGATAATCTTCTATCGAATTGCCTTGCTTCTAAATATGACTTTGTTTCTAGGACCCACTTTAAGGTTGAATGACTGGAGTAAGTCATTTGTCATTACAATTAACCTTTTGAATCATAATAGGAATGTTTTATAAATTAGTCTGCTGAGTTTCTTGGTAAAATACTTGAGCTCTCTCGATCACTTTCCTTGCCGTTATAGTTTAATCGAAAAAAGTTAAGGCCCCAGGGTGCTTCTTGTTCCTTCATCACAGTCCAAATTTCATCATTAACACTTACCGAGGTAGTTTCCGGTAGGTCCGTAATTGCAACCCAATAGGCACATGGTTTCTCCCTCCGAGACTTTTGTGGTTATAGCGCAACCCACGTATTCCGTCTTGGCCCACACCAGCTGGGTAAAATGGCCGATCATTTTGTCCATCGCGAGACTGCCGACGTCCTAAAACAGCACGTAGGAAGAGTTAAAACAATATCGAGAACTATATAAGTCCTGTTAATTTCTGAAATACATGAAAAAATTGATTTTACCCGCAATAGTACTAGTTACTTTTTTTAAAAACGTCCAAATTAAGTCCTACAAGGTCTAAAGATGAATGAGACTGATGTTTTATTTGTTCTGTTATAACTACAATTGTATATAATCGCAGTCAAAAAAACTTCCTTCTAAAGCCACGCGACACTGGAAATGGTTTTTCCACTACTCTTAGCACTGCCGGAACTCCAATACTCAAATAGCCTTTAGCTGAGTAACAACTGAAAGAATGTTTTCAACTGTCCCAATGACATCGTTATGTGAAGAAAAAAAAAAGAAAACATAAAATAAATCTCTAAAAAGGCCTAACAAACTATAATGAACTTGTGCAACGAAATGATTTTTTCATGTCATTAAATAACAAAAATAAGGACCCAGTGACTATCCTATCCTAACCCAAAATATGAATACAATAAGTCAATGCTCAAAAAAGTTACATTGTTGAATTTAAGGGTAATTTACTGATGAGATATTGTAAAAAAATAATAAGCGCAAATAGTTTTTTTTTATTCTAAACGTCATTTGGCATTCTAAATAATAAATTAGCAACCCGCAAAATGAAAAATTTCCCCAAAATCCAACTTTCTTTGAGCGTTGAGTTCTTTTATTCCTATTTTCAGTTAAGACAAACAATTGAGTTAGGGCACTGTTGACAGTTTAGGAAAAATCCTTTTTAACTATTCCAAGTTTATATATGTTGAAGATAGGGATATTGATGGCAAAAATTGTTGGAATATTCAATGTGAGAGAGCATTCAACAAAAACCATTTCAATTAATCTCAGCCTTAACTTCAACCATTTAACATTAGAAAGATAACAATTACGGCCTCTAGTGGACGTTTTAAAAACTTAAAATAATTTCCCTTTCCCCAATGCCATAATTCGTAGCCCTTATTGAGAAACCCAGTATATGTTTGATTGTATAAAAAAAATTCGGACATGATTAATATGTTCAATTGCTGTGGCGATTGGGTAAATGTGTTTGGAATTAAATGTTAATGTTAACGAGACTCACAATGCAATTTTGTTGTATATAAATCGTTGTATGATATAGCTTATTAATTTTTAATTTTCAACGCTTAATAGTACTAACCGAAAATTCGAAAAAATATATTTTTTGACTACACCTCGTATCCAGAGTAAAAGGACGGAACGTTATTGAAAATTAAGTACACTTTGCTTAAAAAGCATTTTTTTCTCTGTCTGAGGTAAGAGAAAGTCAGGAACATGACATTGAAACTTACCTGGAATGACCCGTAATATTCGGGTTTCATATTGGCTACTTCGTTGTACCAGCCGGCCATTAACCTCGTTATGGTCTTGTGGGTACAGTTTCCTTTCGGTTTGAACACCGTGATCGCCAGATTTTGGCCGCTCGAGTATTTCGGGGTGATTCGGCACTTGTCGTGCTCAAATTTACATCGTCTAATGTGACATCTGACAACGTATTCCAGTTGGTTATCCCAAGACAGCGCCATCATGTCCGATGCGCCTTTCCATTCCTCGGGTACCTTTAACAAATAAAAATCTTTATTGTTATTATCAAATTGTGTTATTATATTACAAAATACAAAAGCACAACGGAAATAGAGTCTAATACCTAGAGATACCATACAATTAACCATAACATAAGAATCCTTACATTATTTTCTCAAAATAGTCTTTTATTGAATAGGGTTCTAATTCTATCAGAAGTGTCCTAATATTTCTTGTCAATCTTTTCAAACTATTTATTTCTTTTAAAATGTTGGGCAATTTGTTATAAAATCTTCTACACATATAATATGGATTCTTCTCAGTTAGAGTTAATCTATGTATTGGGTAATTTACATTTCGCGTTCTAGTCTTGTAGGTATGAGATGATACATGCAGTTCGAAATATGCCCGGTTTTTAAAAAAGAAAATGAGTGACTCATAAATATAGACACCGTATACTGCCATTAAACCTTCCATCCGAAAAATTGCTCGTCAATTATCTCCACACTTCATCTTTTCAATTAGCCTTCTGAACTACAAATAATCTTTGTACTGCGCTATGCCCTCCCCAAAAAATAATGACATATTTTAAAATGGACAGAAAAATAGAAAAATATAAAATTTTTGTTGTATTGTAGTGCATGTACCTTCTAACTAGTCTAATTCCATAACAAACAGAATTTAACATTTTTTTTAACTATCAATATGCCTATTCCAGTCCACAAATTCGCCTATATTTACTCCTAAAAACTTTACACTATCTACTATATAGATAATATGCTTATCACATTCCAAATATGGTGGTTTATGCAATTTAGACTATAATTATCCATTTCTTGCGGGTCACCCTTCTTATATAATGACATGATTACAGCTGTTTTTAATTGATATGGAAAAATTCCATATTTGAGGCTGTTGATTAATAAATCACTAAGAACATTGTTAATATAGGGCACTGATAATGTAACTATGCTTGTTAGTCAAAATAAATAAGAACTAAAAGTTCAGATTTTCACGAAATTATATATTATGACATGACAATTGTTTCGACAACACCGTGTCTTTATCAAATGTCATGTCAAAATATATAATTTCGTGGAAATCTGAACTTTTAGTTCTTATTTATTTTGATAAATGGATTTTCATCAAGTAAAAGCCACCTCAGTTCAATGCTTGTTAGTATTTCATCATAATTACTACTGCACTACTGTGCTTATTGTTTATTTCAGTAACTTGATCTGATGACACCGGTCTGAGGAACATTGTTTGGCTGTTATTTTACAACTGAATTATTTGGGGTCTATTTGATTAGATCTGGTATAATTGATAATAAATACTCATTATAACGATTTTCTACTTCTAAAATGTGATTGCAAATTGACCACATACATTTTGTTTTATTAACCGAACATTCAATCTTCTGTCTGTATTCTTCATCTCTGGATGTTTTTAAGAGTTTGTCATACTCCTTTTTTGTTTGGTTATTTAAAATAAGCATCATTTCTAGAGAGTACAAGTAAAGTGTTTAGTTTAATTTTAATATCTAGAACTTGCTGGTTATTTCTATGAGAGTGCTTTTTTCTTTTATTAATCAACTTCAACGGAAAATAGTAATTGAAAGAGCTACCAAAAGTATTTAAAAAATTAAACGATTGCCCGTTAACGTTATGTTCTCGGACCTTATATACATCATTTCAATTCTCTTCAGATATACTCTCTAAAAATTTTTGTTTATCTTCGATTGAGAAAATTCTCACGTACTGGGATAGTGATAGTTGTTTAAATTGAATTATTGGAGGGATTAAATATGAACAACTTGAACTTATTTGCAATAAATCACTACCTAAAACTGGAAACTCAAAAATCACAAATTATTATTGTCGATAAAAACATTCGAGAAAGCATTGAACGAAGAATCTACGTTGAGATTGGAAATAATGTCATTCCAGTTGTAAATACGGCAAAAAATTTCGGTTTGACAATTCTCTATCATTTGATTTTTACATTAAAAAAAAACAAATTAAAGCAATGTTTAAATCCAAAACAAAAATATTTTCTCTGCGTAGATTCTCTTGGCAAAATAAAAGTTCAATACAAACATTGCAAAACTCTTGTATGCGTTTTGCCTATGACGTACCACACCCTAATGAGATGTTCTAACCTCTTCCATATTCCCAAAGATCAAGAAATAACCTAACTTGCATTGTTTCTCGTTGTAGAACGTCAGATCATTTACTTATGTGGCAATAAAGATATGGTATAGTCTTACCAGTCAGATAAGGGAATTATCTGAGTACACATAATGTACTTTTAGAATAATTAATTTAAATATTCAATAGCTGATTTTATTTGTCTTTAGTTTTTTGTTTAAAATTTTACCGCAACTTCACAGTCGATTTGAATTTGGATCTCCCTTTTCTCCGATTGTTCGATGTTTCGAGCAGTTACATATTGAGCTTTAGTGGCAATTTACTCGACACAGTATTCTGTTTTTTCTAATTTCTTTTCTTTCAATGGTTAAGTGATATATATATAGGTTCGAGTTTCTAGGGCCTCCTTGCTAACATTTTTCTTTTAGAAAGGTTTAGGTGAACGGTTGTTATAATCAAAAGTTGGACATATTTGTCAAAATAAAGTATCTATTATATTATATTAAAAACGTCAAGAACCAATTAGAACTAACCAATTAGAAGTATAATATTTTTTTAATAAGAAAAGAACAAAAAAAAAACAGTTTCATATATTTTTTAATATAAACAAACTACCAGTAGATTATTTTCAATGAGAACGATTTTTTATTATAATAAATTTGGCTTTTATAAGGACTGTGAATGTTCTTGATTGTTTAGATTGATGTCCACCAGAGTTTTTCTTGTTTCCTTTGTATACAGATAATTTAAAAGTGTCTTTTGGGTGAAGCTTCGCCTATGATCCTATTTTTTTTTCAATTTATCACGATTATGGATAAAAAAGGCACAGTAATAATATCTTCATTTTTCAAAGAATCTTCCACAGGCTACTGTAATCCTTTTTACAAAATTTCTGGATTCCCACTGCGTCGGTTTTTGCTTAGTAGAAATTGCTAACGCTTCGCCAATCATCCTGTTAGCTTCTTCAGAGCTTGACTGAAACTCGCTTGCATTTTACTCTGTACCTGCTTTTATATTGTTTGAGGGGGCGGAGCTAAATTAGGGACATAAACACCGTCTCCCATGACTGATTTCCATATTGGTGAGAGGTAAAGTCCTGAGTTGCGGTTAAGTTGTTTGGTGGCTTATAGATTTCCATTGATTTTCAGTTTTATTTTTTGTGTTCGGCAACTGCTGATGAGTTTAGTTGTTCCTTGAGCCTAGCATGGAATGCTGTAAATTCCTCAACTTTTTTATGCTTACGCTATTTTGAATAAACAAACAACTTCAGAAGTGGGTTTGAAAGCTATCGAAAAATAATAGTACACCAAAAGGTATTCAAATTGATTCCTTAAATTTTGATATATACTGATATATAGTTTCTTAATTTTAAATCAACTTTTTCTTACATTGAGATGCTTGATGTACCCTTTGAAACACTTGGAGTGTTGGAATGAAACAAATGCTTACATTCTAGCAAGACTCCCAAAGACTCACAAACCAGGATTACCCCTTCGACCTATTGTCAGCACCAATGGTTCTCCAACATTCTCTAGCAAATTATCTACCTTCCTGATTAAAACCCTTTACAGGGAATTCCTTTCACTTCATTGAACAATTAAAAGATACACAAGATATTCTGATTAGTTTCCACGTAGAGTCCCTCTTTACTAAAGTTCCTATTTTTTTTACAATTTAATCTATATTATTTAAGTTATATTATTATAATTAAAACCGTTCTTATTGGAAGTAATTTACTGGTAATTTGTTGATCAATTTAGAAGTTTATATTCAAAAATATCTGCAAGTGTTATTTTTTCCTTGTTGTTTTCTTAATAAAAAAACAATACTACTGATTGGTTTATTTGTCAAAGAAAAAAGACAATGTGATTTCGTAATCGACACCGCAAATAAAATTTTGACAAAAAGGACACAATTGCGATTATAATTACTGTTCACCAACATCTTTCTAAATGAACAATGTTAGCAAAAAGGCTCTAGAGAACCTAGAAGAGCGTTAATGTGTCACTTGATTGAAATTAGAAAAAAAAGATGTTGTGGTGAGTATATTGCCACTAAACAATCGGAGAAAAAGGAGATCCAAATTCAAATCGACTGTGAAGTTGCGGTAGAAGTTTAAACATAACACTAAAGATAAATAGAAACAGCTATTAAATATTTAAATTAATTATTCTAAAAGCACATTATGTGTATTCAGATAATTCCCTTATCTGACTGGTAAGACTATTCCATATCTTTATTACCACATAAGTAAATGATCTGACGTTCTACAACGAGAAACAATGCAAATTAGGTTATTTCTTGATATTTGGGAATATGGAAGAAGTTAGAACGTCTCAATATGGTTTGGTATGTCATAGGCAAAACGCATACAAGAGTTTTGCAATTTTCGTATTGAACTTTCATTTTGCCAAGAGAATCTACTCAAAGAAAATATTTTTGTTTTGGATATAAAGATCGCTTTAATTTGTTTTTTTTTATGTGAAAATCAAATGTGTGTATCTGAAGAGCATTGAAATGATGTATATAAGGTCCGAGAACAAAACGTTAATGGACAATCGTCTAATTCTTAAAATACTTTTGGTAGATCTTTCAATTACTATTTTCCGTTACAGTTGATAAATAAAAGAAAAAAGCACTCTCATAGAAATAACCAGCAAGTTCCAGATACTAAAATTAAACTAAACATTTTACTGAAGTGCTTGAAAGATAACTGAACACGAATTTGGAGAACGAAGGAAAAAAAAAACCCAAATCCAAATCTTATTCCGCAACAAAAAATTACTTACCCTAGGCTCTTCTCCCAAAGCGATCATGTTTCGGTATCTGTTCGTTTCGTCAAGAAGGAACTTTTTCATCTCGTCGGTAAATATATCGGCGTCTTCACACCCGGGTTCCGGCGGGCAAGACTCTCCCCTTTCGCAAACGGTATGCTTGTAGGTCGCGTCTTCCCGCTTGCAGCTCAGCTCGCACCAATCCACACACGCACCACCATTAACAGCGACGAGAATTAGAAGGAAGCTTAACATCGCTTTGGCGAGAATGACAAACCTGCCAGTGTCCCTTTGCTTCGGGGTTTTATGGCCGTTATTTTTGTTGCTACGCGACAAAGTTTATATTGTTGCTTCGGAGTGAAATCCAAAATAATAACGTCGGACTGATCGTCACGTACGAAATAATCCCACGACAATGTCGGGGGTATTTTGATTTTACGAGCGTAAACATCGCATTGCGAAAAAGGTTTATTTGTTTTAATACAAAGTAAATGAACCGATATATGGTGAGGCATCGAAAAGGTACTAAACTAAAACTAAAAATGTTTTAAGGAAAAGTGATTCATCATGGAAAAAATATTTGTCTGTTCTCTGTTTTCCGTAACGGACTGTCGGGATGTTTTAGAAGTCGGTTAAGATTTGAAAGGTTAGAACTATGGGTCTCCAAAATTTCGAGCTATCGAGTTGGAATTTGGTAAAAATATAGTTTCATACCCAGATAATATGGAACCTATACATTTTTTCGAAAACGGTATGCCCTATCAAAAAATTTCGTAGCTCAGAAGACGCGCGGGATTTTGAAGAAATAACCCAAATATGTAGTTGACTCAAAAATTTACAGGGTGTCGCGACTACAAGCAAAAAACTGAAAATTGTTATTTTTCGAAGTAAATTCTTATGTGTGATCGCCAACCGTGGCAAACGGTGCCGTCTGGTGCTAATGGCCTTTTAGGCCACCTCAAAGGCTACATTTTTGCATGTACCTTTTTCGTCTGTCATGTAGGGTGCGCGACATACAAGCTAGAATGCGGTTGGTTGGAATTACCTAGTAACAACTTAGTTTAGGTCTAGCGGCCAGCAGTTACCATTTTCACAAATTGCGATATATTAAACCAAACCCGTCAAGATTTTGATTAAAATGATATTCCCGGTAACAAATGGCTTGTATACGAAACGAATCAAAAATTGCACTCAAGTTTCGTAGCTTCGCAAGATAAGGTGTTCGGTGTTACATTGAAAATCGTGGGTTCAAACCCGATTCCAAGTTAATTTTTTTCTCTTTGAATATTTAATTTTATTACATTCTTAATCCTTGCTAAACTTTTGTAAATTATTGTAACTGAAGTTTTCCAGGACGACACACTAGAAACCGTTTTCAATTCAGGAGATATATTTACTTCTATTTCCAAATAACACTTTTACACAGCCTGACAGACATCGAGTGTTTAGTTTTGGAGAGAGAACTTTTTCGAATATCGGTTTACTGCCATAAGAGTATGTAATTTTGATTTTAGATATATTTTCGCAAATACAGCGGTGCCAGATCTACATGAAATTCACAGCAATTTTCTTATTTGAAATGAAATACACTTTTTTCTTTGGAAAATGTTTTCATTATCTCTAACAGTAACTATATCCTGAAACTGAACTATTTACGAATATGACGCTGAAATTCAGACTCACTACTCACAGGATGCTATTATTTTAGTACGCTATTGTTTGTGCGTCATTTTTATAATTTTTTTATAATTTTAGTAGCTAGCTTACGAGATACTATTATTCTACCAGGAGTTATTCTCCTATCTGGAATCACTATTTATTCATTTATTTACTGAAAACACTTCGAACACTTCGAGCGCGAGCATTGAAGATGCCAAGTGAGATTTTGGCGAAACGTCTGCAGGATTCCAGTCGGAGTTCAACAAGCGAACGGATGATATTCCGGAATATAGTGTCATCACATTTTTCCATCCCTGAATCAATAAGTGAAAAAAAAAAAATATATATATATATATATATATATATATATATATATATATATATATATATATATATATATATATATATATATATATATATATATATATATATATATTTGTATTGCTCGCTTTTTAGTTGTCTATTGTACGGGCTAAATCGACAATTAACAACTAATTATAGCAATTGTAGGTTAAGTGAAGAAGTGAAGAATATCTTCGTATTATGTTCTTCTGTTGAATCTCTTGCTGGTTGGGCAATATCCTGTTCCCGATTCTTTCTCTTAATGTCTTCTGTTCTGTTGATCTCAATGCTCCAATTCATGTTGAACAAAGTATCCTTTTTCATCATCATACACATTCACTTTGCCATCAGCTTTCCTGTTTTTAGAATTAAAAATGCAATATCTGCGTTTTTCTTTTGGAATTTCTATGTTTCGTGCATTATCGTTCTCTTCTTCCTCTACATGTGTATTACTGTCTCCACTGTAAAGTTCTTCTACATAGGCTGTCCATTTTTCTCCTTCTATTTTATTACCATTTTTTTATTCATTTCATATTTTGCTCTATGAGAGTCTTCCGTTTCTTTGGTAATGTGTGTCCAATATTCTCTTTTCAGGTTGTTCATCTCAATTTAGTTTTTGCATTGCTGATGGTTGTCAAGAGTCTTATTGCTGCAATATTGCTATGATTTCTGTGTTAAGTTTAAGAGTATGTTAAAATTTGCAACTTGTTTTACCACATTTCCCTTGAATCTCTCTTATAATCTTTTTCTTACTATGTTTAACTATAGGTTAAGTTTAAGTTTTGTTATTTTATTTTATATATATATATATATATATATATATATATATATATATATATATATATATATATATATATATATATATATATATATATATATATATATATATATATATATATATATATATATATATATATATATATATATATATATATATATATATATATATATATATATATATATATATTATTTATTTATTTTATATATCAGTTGGAGTACATGATTTTAAAAAAGTTTATTTAATCTCTGTATTACAACGATACAAATGAAACTTATATAAAATTGTAACCAACTTATAAATAATTCAAGTTTTGTACGGGTTAATGTACAAAAATAATTAATTTTATTCTAGCAATATGCATATTTTCAAATAGTTACATATTAATCGGGGTCTGTGTTAACAGTTAGTAAATTATTAAAATGGTGCTGATTGTCAAGCACGTGACTAAATGGACGGCGTTAGGATAGTTCTAGTTTCCTGTTTCTAGTTCTAGTTTACTTTCATTTTTATTCATTTTCGTCTCATTCAAAGCATGCGCACGTACGTAAAATATTTATATTAATAACGGTTTTATTCCCTGCTAATAATTTTTTACGAGCTATAGCAATATTTAACAACATTTTGTAAACCATCTAATAAATAATAGGCCTTTTAATAGAAGCAAACATTTTCCGCCTGTTATCAAAGAAATTGTAATATTTAAGTTTTAAAGCTACTCTAGTAAGAAAGGTTGCCTACTAATTAAAATGGCCTGTATTTTTTGAGTCCTTAAATGAATTATTTTATTCAAAAAATTTATTTATTTATTGTAAAAATTTTTTGGTTGTATTATTTTGTGACAGAGTATATATTTGTACCTTTCGTTTAAAATTAACAAAATCTAAAATAATTTTATTGTAATTTACTTTTAATAACAGTTGGTAAATAGTTTTCATTGCATGGGTCAAATACTAAAATATACATCTGCCAATATAAGCAAGTTATTAAATTATTGCATATATAATTCACAAACTTTGTTGGTGACGGTACACGTTTCAAAACATAATTTTTGTCGAAATTGAGTAGTTCCTAAAATCCTGTCAAAACTTAAATTTTAGAACAGACACCCAACATTATTTCTATTAGCTCTACAAACACTATACAAGCATATTATAACGGCAATGCAATCAACAATATAACAAGTATATAAAGTCTTGCATAATGGCTATACAAAACTTAATTTAATGACTATACAACAACTGTTATAATGGCTATAGCACCACTTCGATAATGAATATACAACGCTCTTACTTAATCCTCTTTGTCTTTTCCGATGTATATGAGCAGAAAATTTTGGTACTTTGGAGTTCCTTTTCCTTCCCACACTAGTGCAATCAGACTTTAAAGGAAACCATCGCCAGTGCCAATCTTATAATCAGAGAAAATGGAAAAACTAGAATTAAAAAAAGAAAAAGTAAAATATAAACTAGAGAAATTACTAATTAGATGAAAACAAAAATTCTGAACGTAAATGGTTTTTAGAGTGAAGAAATGAAACTCTGAAGCGAATTTTGGCAATGGAATATTATCTAAGGGCTTAATTGGGAAGTATCTTGGTGCTATGTTGTTATAAATTGTTAAGAACCCTAATAAACAGCTTATTTTTACCAAAAAATTAAAGGAAAATACAGTTTTTACAAAAGTGGGCTATATAACCGAATTTGGAAACTTCTATTAAGAGACGGTTAACAAACCGCTAAATGGAAGTATTTATTTCATTCTCACACTTTAAGGGTTTCAAAGGATATATCAAGCATCTCAAACTAACCAACTAAACCAAAACTAAGAAAAATTAGTTTTAAAATAACGGTACTTTATATCGTTTCTTAAAACAAGTAATTAATTTGAGTACCTTTTGGTGTGTTATTATTTTTCGATAGTTTTCAAACCCACTCAACATGAAATACAAAAATTCCGTAGACACATTTAATTGTATGTTAATATATCATATCAAAATTTTACCGTCATCATTTTCCAAAGTAATATCCTTGAATTGTTTATGTGTATATACATGACTGTTCTCGAGGTTAGTTGTATTGGGCTGAGTTGCTATTGATCTGTACTGGAGCATCTATACCAAATGTAAATGTCATGCCCTGCGTCGCATTTTGTAATTGAAATTGAAGATTTAAACTAATTTTGTGTTTGTTTTATTGTGTAATGACGATAACATCGGCGTTAAAACAATTGAATACGAGATCTGTTCGATAAACACGATCCTCTCCAGTGTTTTGAAATTACTTATTTATCTGCCTCGTGCATATAACGGAGATTGTTGATTGAATAAGTCTAACAAAAATAATTTTTTATATTTATTTTAGATTGGACTTCATTCCTCACATTAGGCTATAAAAAATATCCAGCAAAAATCTTTCGTCCTACCAAATAGACTCTGATCGGGTGACAACAATTTTTAATTGTTGTGTCGCCACGAACAAAAACCAACCAAAAAATAAGAAACAATAAGCATAAAGCCAAATTATGTTTCACTACACATTGGTTAATAAGGTAAATGAATTTAGAAGCATTATTAAACGAGTTTAGTATTCAATAAAATAATACATAACGAATAAATATATTGCAAGGAATTCAAATTGCAACATGCAAAACAAATGAATTATAGCGAACTAAATGACTTAAAATAGAAATAACAATACAATACAATACAATACAACGGTTATAACAACAAAAATATCAATTCAACGTAGGATACTAAGAAAACAAAATTCTATACAAACTAAACACGCAAAACAAATAAAACTGAAAGGAGAATTGTAACATTTCCTAAAACTAAAAAAAAAGTAATAAATAGCGCACATGAAATTAAATCATTTTTAAAAAAAACCTTCATCGCAGTAATAAATAATAGGAAAAATTCCAGAAAAAATAAATAGACAGATAAGTATTCATTCTATACGCAATCTACATAGACCAGAATGAGGGTGAAAAAGTATCTCCACACACAGTAAAATTATGAGTATTTATATGCTCTTCATTTATCACTATTTAAGATGGAATAATAGATGATACACCATGGTTTTACCATAAGCAAAGATCTCTCCTGATACCATGGGTATGACTTCCCGTTCAAACAAACATGTTCTTAAAATATTGTTCACCTTAATAAGTAATTCAGCTTTTTGGATGAATAGAATTATTGCAAAGCCAAAGTTGAGGCAGAACAATCTTAATTAATATTTAGTTTACCTAATTAACAATTGAACCCAAAGGACAAACATTTTTTTCATTTTTTTATTTAATAATTTTTGAGCATAAATAAGGTTTAGGTTACAAAAGGGTTTGCGAATACAATATAGCGAAAACCTTAGTTGGCTATCGATGGCCATTACTAGGTTTTTTGCATTTTCAGTTAATTCAAGGACAGAGTTATCTAGATAAAGCTTTATTTAACATGTTTGAAGTTTAAATTCCTGGTCCGACTTTTTTCAATGAGTAGCGATTTCGCTGGATTTAGGCTTAACCAATGGCAGTGCGAGATATTAAATTAAATTAAATAATTCAATCAGGATCAATCTTACCACTGGCTTCTGCAATATTTATGCATTATAGACCTAGCTTTCGGAGATGAAGTGCGACCATGCAAGTAAACCATCTGCTGCCTCTCAGTTAAATAGTTCCCTATAAGTGATCTTGTCAAAACGTAGATAATCCAAACTAGCAATTGATAGAGAGTGATCGAGTTTATCGTAGGCTTTGCCATAGCCCAAATAAAACTTCGACTTTGCTCTGCTAAATCGCCTAGTCAAGAAGAAGAAATAGCTACAATTCGTTGTTTAGGAGATGCAAGATTGGTGACCATATATTATGTTACAGTTCGCCAAAATATAAAATTTTTATTAATTTTTTTATTTTTATTTTACAGCATCCTACCTCGCTTGCAAGCAGAACTTCGGTACAACAGTACTTCGGTACTGCGTGCATACAAATGCTGAAAGGTGAAGGATATGTCTAGAGTTTCATTGGTGAATAATCCATTTTTACTTTAAAATTTTTATTATAAATGAAATTGCAGTCATATGGTGGAAGACGGACGGACAACTGTGAATCCGCACTTCATGGCCGACCTGTCCAAATTTCAAGCAAAAAATTTTAAATTACTATTTTAGTCGACGATGAATTCGGTATTTTTTACGCTTGTGCTGAATGGTAGCTGGCGTTGTCTATCACAACAACATTGTTTGCTGGAATATTTCAGAAAAACATTTTTTAAAGATGTCTACTATCGTGTTTTCGTGGTAGTTAACCTTTGCTTCTTTGACATCCTTTGCAGAAAGCAACAAAGCGTTATCTACCCAACCAGCTTGAGAGTTTGCATGTAGTATGACAATTCGTTCGCCCTGCGAAACTGGCACATCCAACGAATATTTTTTGCTGTTACCAACAGTCCATTCAATCAAGTTTCATCTAAATATATGATGGGGACGTTTTAAGCACGAATTTCTTAATATAATATATATATATATATATATATATATATATATATATATATATATATATATATATATATATATATATATATATATATATATATATATATATATATATATATATATATATATATATATATATATATATATATATATATATATATATATATATATATATATATATATATATATATATATATATATATATATATATATATATATATATATATATATGATATAATAAATATATATATATATATATATATATATATATATATATATATATATATATATATATATATATATATATATATATATATATGTAGCATAAGTGTAGAGTGAGAAAATACCGACAACTTTGGAAAATTAAATCGGTTCGTCTAATTTGTCGAAAACTTGGCCAAAATCTTGATGCAAATTTTTAAAGTCACTGATAAGACTAACAATATTTTTAAGAAGGAGCAGGTATTTATAAGTGGTGCGATAAAAAAAATAGAGCTTCCGGCTTCCGGATTGGCGTGAATCTTTTCAAGCAATGTTAAGCCAGTTTAGCGTAAGCATTTTATTTAGCAAATCTGCAGTTAACTTGGGTATTTAAAATAGCAGCTTTATTTTATATTTTAGGTCCTGATTTGCGTGGTACTCCAGGGGTTAGCGTATTGCTGCGAGGTACCGAGTGAGACCACCGTCGGCGGTACTCACGCAAAGGCGTTAGTTCAAGGAACCATCTGTCCAGGAGATGTAATTTTCGAAGAAACTTTCGACATTTTCGATTTGAGAAAGTGGTCCCACGAAATTACACTGGCTGGCGGCGGGGTAAGGATTGGATTGTACTATAATTTATTATTACAATTTTACGGAAAACCTTTTTAACTTTTCTTAATTGTAAACTTTTTCAGTTTGCACAAAACTTGATAAAAAAACAATATAGTTTCATAAATATTCAACACGTATTTTGTTATGTATTTAATGGACTACAAAACAATATGCAATGTTATGTAAAAATATACTTAGAAAAATTATTATTTATCATCAGACTTAATAATGTTAAATGCAAAAAAAAACAAATCTTACAAAAATAAAAATATACATATATAATTAAAACAACATTATAAATATTTAATGCGACGGTTGAGCTGGTTTATCAGCACAAATTTTCTCAAATCGTGGATTGTTGAAAAAATCGCGGTTCTCAGTTCCTTTTCAATCACTAAGCGAGATCGATACTTTGTGTTTAAGGCCGCTACTGTAGAAAAGCCAGTTTCACCTAAGTAAGATGTTTACAAATGGCAGTAAAATTCCTAAAGCTTTGTTTGTCAAAGTGGGAAAATCGTCCCTTAGTCGTAGCAAAAACGTAACAATATCATTGTCGTCTTAAAACATCCGCTTTAACGTGCTATCACTGAATAAGCCGATTATCATTAGCTGCTCTGCATGGTAAGACCAAAATCATCATGTTAATCAACCACAAAGGGGTTTCTAATCCATTTATATTTGGACATCTCAAAATCCATTAAAGTAAAACGGGAATTTCTTCCATAGACTGGTCAAATAATTATTAATAAGAACTTTACTTTCTTTTATTTCTTCAGCAAGATAGGTAAAAGCACGAATTTGAGGCCCTTGCATTGATTTGTTTAATGTACTGAGTCTTTGAAAAAGTTTGCTTCATCTCTATTTTTATCAGTAAGAAATATGGCGATCCTTTCTTTTAGCGCAAACACCCTGTGAAGTACTTTGCCACGAGAAAGCCAACGTGCCTCAGAATAATAAGTATATATTTTAAATCCATGTCATTACATAATTTTGTGAATAGCCTTCATCTTAGTTTCGATAAAATTTACAACTCTAACTTCAAATACTGCATTAAAAACTTCAGTTGTAGTATTGCATTCAATAGGTTACGGGATAACATGTCTTTTCTAATATCAGTTTCCACAACATATGTTATCATGTGGGCATCCTTAAGAACATCGGTAGCCTCATCTATATGACGCAAGCAATGCTTTTGGTCTTACTGATATTTTCTTTGAAAACATTTCTTGATGTTTATTTAAATTCTCCAATTCTCTTTCTAACAATCATCTTGCCTGGCCAACGTGATCTGCATGTACGTTTTCCATATGTTTTTTTAATTTATTCGGTATATTTTGCGTAGATTTATTTCTTTTTTCTTTTTTTCTTTTGCCCCCTGCTTCTGGTTACGTATTTTTCAATCTAATATTTTAAATCAAATAAAAAACTCTTTTTACTACTCACTTTAAAAGCGGTCTGTAGACCATATCCTAATAAAGCATATTTCGGCACTTTACAACAATTTCATTTGAGGGTCGATTTCAGAAAAAAAAATTATAATACAATTTTTATCATTGGCAAGATTATAATTATTTATATTTTACAACTTAAAATATTGTTATTTCAATTCAAAAATTAAATTTGACAGGAACTGGATATATTATTAAGTACGCCATCTTGTGTTGATACATTAATAGAGACGAATTTATATTAATTTAAAATAGAATACATTTCAATATTTTCTTGTTTTCATTTTTTCATTTAAATTAAAAGTCAGTCTTAGTTGGGGTAGTTTTTAAATGTCGAATTAAAAACTAGTTTTTTGGCAAAATTATAACAAATATTTTACATCCAGTTCTGCATTTAGCGAATGAATAACCTTAAGGTCTATTTCCAAAAATGTCTGTATTCAACAAATTTAAAAATTTAATACTACTTCTAATGCAATATAACAACAACAAATCAATGATTTAATAATAATAATATGCACGGTTACTGTATTTTCAGTTTGTTGTAACTTCTAAAGTGAGTCAAGTAATAGAAACCGTGTGGGTACCCCATGCTGAATATTAGAGCCTTTCCTTTCTAATATCAAAAAATACAATTTTGAGCAATTGCTTAGGGTAATGCAAAATTCGCTCCTATTTTCTCCAAACAAATAAAAATAAAATAAATCTTTAATAGAAGTTGAGAAATTAAGTTTTCAGGCTCGCATCATCTCAAAATAAATGCTAATAAATCTTGTTATTTTCGAAAATTCTAATTTTTAGAAAGTATGTACGTTGGTATAAAATTTTTATATTATATATATATATATATATATATATATATATATATATATATATATATATATATATATATATATATATATATATATATATATATATATATATATATATATATATATATATATATATATATATATATATATATGTAGTATATATATATTTCATTTTAATTAACGGTACAACCTACGGAATCGCCATTGCCACAGAAATGATAACCGTCGGAAAAAAAAGTGTCTATTATCCGTTCTTGTCTTTGGTTTTTCCTGGATAACTTTCGAACCGTTTGAACTACAAAATTGAAATTTGTTTCCAAAAAAAATTCTAATAGATCCTAGAAATTTCCGGTTTCGTGGGTGAATTATTGGCGATAAATGAAAAACTTTTAAAGATGTGATAATTTGATATGAACAGTATCGTATACTGTATAAGGTTTCGTCTATAATACAGGGGACGCAAGATATTTGGAAAAATATAATTTTAAATTGCAATTACCCGTACACATTTTAATATTTACCGAAGTTTGCCGTGACTTTGAAGTTCCACGAGATGTCAAGGACACTTTATAACGAGTGTATTCACAATCAAATTTCATCGATTGTGCGAAAGTTCCATAGTGGTCCGCAGAAGCACGATAGAAAAACAATGCGTCAATTTAGGATCAGGAACCGCGAAGCGGCTTCTTTTAGAAATAAAAAGCTGATCCGCTATACCTGCGACAAACTTGCCTGGCCCAGTAACGATTTTTTGAAAGCAATGTTGTTACTTTCGCAAAGATAAAATCGAATTTTTTGAAAGTGTACGCGCTTAGCAACGAAACTCATTTCTCGGCAGCGTCAAAACAAAAAACTTTTTTTTATCTGTTTGTCCGTTCTCCGTTCTCTGTACACGCTTCATAAAAACGCGAATAACTTCGGAACCACTGAAATTTTGCTCCTTTTACACTAGAAACGAGATACATAAGCCCATAGAAACTGGCAGCGATTGGAAATCGGCATGTATTTTTTTCGCGATTTTCTTTTTTTTTGTGCATCGCTATGAAACACGATAAGTGTCCGAGTCAAAATTGCCACCAATACAGAGTTTAGTCCCCTAACGGAATCTATCAAAATTCGGGCTGGGGGTCTGGAAGTATTTTTAAAAATTTAAAACCGCATTTGCAGTGTCTAGAAAATTCATTTCTCAAAAACGGTATATACCATGGAAAAAATATTGAACCAAAAGACGCGCGAGAACCGGATCAAAAACTTTTATTCTTGATAATTTTTTAAAAAAGTACAGGGTGCGTCGGCAATTTACAAAAAACTGAAGATAATTGACTATAACTAGAAGGCTGTGATTCAGTTGTCAGTTTTTTATATGGTTTATCGACTTCAAATTTAGCGAAGATGTAGAAATTCACACCCACATTTAAATTTTTGAAGCTGGGCGTCGTCAAATATGTCGAAGCATTTTTTAAAAATTTTAGAATTTTTTTCCAAAACTATTTCCCCGATGAGCAAAATTCTTTAACCAGCAGACGCGGAAGATCCAGTGCAATAACATTTATTTCGAGCATTTTTTCGATTATATACAGGGTTTTTGAATTATGAACAAAAATGTAAAAGACCCTGAAAATTGTCCTTTTTCAGAGTAAATTATTAGCCGTTAAACCAAATTCGTAAAAAATATATGAAATTGGTTTAAAAATTGTTATAGGCCCCATCAAGGGCTACAATTTCTCTATTTACGATTTTCGCACATACGCTGACATCGCTATTTCTCCCACTCCACCTAGACGTGATGACGTCATTTACTATTACGACGTACTGCATGCTTTCAGAAAACAAGTATTTTCTCGAAAACCAGTCACCCTATTTAAAAAATTCATATACCGGGAAAAGTGGGAGATCCAAGGCTAGAATTTCTATATGGAATATTGTTTGAATTATATACAGGGTGTGTCGATTATGGGCCGAAAATCTAAAAGTTCCCTAAAATTTCCGTTTCTGTGGGTAAATTATCGGTAATAAATGAAAAACTGTTAAAGATAAGATAATTATCTTTTGAACGGTATCGTCAATTGTGTCGAGAGAGAGTTTCAAGTTTCGCCTATCATACAGTGCACGCGAAATAATCGAAAAAAGATTATATTAAATCGCAAATACCTCTACAAATTTTGATATTTAAGAAAGTTTGCCGTAACTTTGAAGTTTCACGAGACCTGCAAGACACTTTATATATCATTTTATTTGAGACTAAACTGTGATAGACATTTATGATTCAAGCCCAACCCAAATAAATGCATTCAAAAAGCCTGTATGAGTTTAAACAACATTTATCTGGTCGTCACATTTTTTCAACTAATCTTAAAATTAGATTCATGGATTCGCTGGTTCTTTCTCATTTTAATTATGAAGATGAGTGCAAAAATGGTGTTTACGAATTGGTCTCCGTGAGGCAAATGGACTATTAATGGAAAAACGTCGACAGTTAGGTACATGCAGTGGCTTTTTTCCATAACATAATTTAAATAGTCAACTGATTTTTGACATAGAGGTTTTATCTCTCCCTCCCACATCATAAAGTATTGCTTGAAAGATCGTTTTCCTACAAATGGTATAACGCTGTTCCCAACAACGTAAAGAAACTGATGACCCCATATTTTAGGAAAAATTATGTCTTTTGATTATAAATCTATTAGCCGAAGCGGAATTCTGTTAATGAGATATGGTACACCATTCTTTTTTTTTCTTTTAGGTATTCATGTTAATGATATATTCAGTATGTTATCATAATACGTCGGTTAAAATATAAGTAACTACGAAATTAGAGAATGGACTTTGATCCTTTTTAAAATTGTTCTTCAGCTCCTTTTTTTTTCGCTGTGCTTTTAGTGTACTGCTATCAGATAAATGTAAATACAAAGTGCAAAAAAATAAATATATAATAAGACTAATTTTACTATTATTATTAATACACAACTGAGTTTATAGCAAAGCGGAGACTGAAGTACGAGGTGTACTCAAAAAGTAAGGTGCCTTTTGTATTTGGACCGGCTACGTACATCCATTTCTTGTACATATTTTTTGTTATGTTGTACACATGTGCCTAACATATATTTCAGCCAGTTTGCAAGTTAGACGTGTTTTGTGTGCTGTCAAAAAAAATAAATATAACAAACAATTTGCATTTTGCATTTGTAAAAAATTGAAGAAGAAAGTGTGTACCAAATGTGGTTAGAGGATTGAAAAAAAAACATTAATTTTGATGAATAAATAAAAACTTTTGGATAAAACTTAAGTCACCTTACCTTTTGAACATACCTCGTATATATAGCTCGCCATTCTAACAATTTTTTTTTAGAATTTAGAATTTCAGTACTATACCAACAACAGAAGTAACAGTTTCGTAAATAAAGGATACCTGCATATACGGCCGACATTTTTATCCGACGAATTCGGCGAGGCTTTCCTCAGTTCGGGAACGTTGGATGTCAATGGTGGCTCACCTGCGGATCAGTAAGTATCGTAATTTTTAATATTCTAATTGGCTTGCTTGAAAAATTCGGATTTGCAGTTTGTTCCAATTAATTAGGTGCCATTTTCTCATTAAAGCATGCAAGTTTATTTTCGTGCGATACTTTAAAATGCTCTTCATGGTACAATGTTTACTTTTTCGAAGCAGCAACAACTATGTCTATCAATGCTTTAGAGAAACAGGCAAGCTACGTCTGATGGTCCCATTCAACAGGAACTTGCACAAGAAAACGCAATACTTAATACGATTAATGCTCAACCTTCTACTAGTGTCCCATGAATAGGTAATAGACTTAACTTAGGACGACGAATGTGGATCCAGCCCGATGAGGCACCTCCTCACTTTGGTCGACAAGTAACAACATTTCTTAATCAAAATTTTACAAATCGATGGATTGGAAGAGCTCCGGCAATTCCTTAACCAGCATGGTCACCTGACTTTAGTCCCTTAGTTTAATTTTTTTTTGTGGGGAAGACTGGAAACTTTAGTTTATGCAGAAAGTATTGAAATCAGAGAACAACTGGTAGCTAGACTTATGGATGCCGCAGAAACTATTCGTGCTGACTCTGAAACGTTGAATTCTAATTAGAGCTAGACCATGTCGACTGGGTGGACATTTTGAACAACTAATTAATAAAATAAAATATAAATAAATAAAAAATAACAAAATAAAAAATAAAGGGGTTTCTTTTAAATGGTCCTTAAAATGTCAAACGCTTGTAGCTGCCAAGCTTAGAATAGCCGGTACAGGTTCGTTTGATATTTTTAACATGAAATCACCCCAGCAACACACACCCAAAGTATGGCAGTCATGTCGTGGGACAGGCTGTATATAGAAAGTACCCACTATAAGTACCTACATAGTTTCACATGGTTATTATTAAAAAATTATTTCAAAAAATTTGAGTAGTTGAAATTTCAGGCAATCAAGAAATCGAGGATTCAATGTCACTTTTGCTTTTTTCAATGTTGCAATGTACCGTGCGTTCAATTTATCTTGATATCGTTATAATTGGCTGTAACTTTTTTGTTTATAGAGGTAGAAACAAAAAACAAAATGTAGGGTTAGTAGCCAAGTTTTTTAAAACAAAACACTATCAATTTTCTGTCATATAAGCCTACATAATATATATGCGTTTAATAGAATATTTTATTCCGATTACAATGATGCGACACATTTTATATTTTAGTCTACTCGTTTTTGACAAATCGACCAAAATTGGAAATGCCGGAATCATAATGTTTTAAATGAAGAAAATAACGCACACATATTAGGATTCTATAAAGCATATTTAGTTTCCTCTGTTACAGTATATGAAGAGACAGTTATTTCTCGGGGATCAATCCACTCAGTTTTGGGAGAATATAAATATAATGCACTTAATTTTCGTAAAACTCAAAAACTAAGTGTCAAAGGCGGATGCAGTTTTATTTGGATTTTTTAAATGCACATAATGTGAATTATAATTGTTTGAAAAACATTTTATGGACTAATGAAAGTTCATTCACTAAAAGAAAGGGTTGTAAGATATAATACCGAAAAGTTACCAAATGCAAGACATCAGACAATTAGAGCGTATGAGAAATGTGTTCAGAAGAATGGTCGTCACATACAGCAGTATTTAAAATAGTTAAATAATTTTTTACTTTAGTGTGTCTTGTTCTTTTTAGTGTTTTTGTTCTGCTTTAATTTGTAAATAATTATTATTGTTGCCGTCCATCCCGGTACTCTTTGAAATTACAATATATATAACATATATGAATATACAATATATAATATATAAAATTTTCCTTTTTTTGCCGATTTCTCAAAAACTATTTAAAAAAATATGATGTAGGCTAATATGTCAGAAAATTGATAGTGTTTTGTTTTATACGTCACTTGGAAAAAAAAACTTGGCTACTAACCAGTAATTTTGTTTTTTTCTTTACCTGTGTATCTCTAAAAACAAAAAAGTTACAACCAATGTTATCAAGATGAATTGAACGCACGATACCGTTCTTATTCTGTAATATGCTAACAGAAAAATAACCGGTTTCGATAGATTTCCTCAAATTAAGGTGTCAATGTTTTAGATGTACCAACGCCATGTCGTATGGCTGTATGCGAATAGGGACTCCGAGTTACATCCTGAACCCCATAAAAAGTGCCAGAATCAGAACGGCGGATTCGTTTTATTTCAAATACGGAAGGGTCGAAATTAACGCCAAAATACCTTCAGGAGATTGGTTGTGGTCAGGTAATAAAAAATTTACTCCGGAAAAAAAATGGTTCGTTGAACAAATTTCAGCCATTTGGATGTTACCCCGCTACAACCGCTACGGGGATTGGCCGGCTTCTGGCGAAATCGACATACTCGAAAGTAGGGGAAATAAAAACTTGGTATTGAACGGCGTCAACATCGGCACCCAACAAGTGGGCAGTACCCTGCATTGGGGACCGAACTATAACTATAATAGATACCCGCAGACCCATTACGAAAAGAACTCCGACCAAGGCTACGACACGGATTTCCACAAGTACCAAGTCGAATGGACCCCCGATAAAATCGCATTTTCAGTTGATGGTGTCGAAATTGGAACAGTTAAACCCGAAGGTACCTCCAAAGTATAAATGGCGTTTCAAATTCGGCTCTCACCATTAGGGTCTTGGTAACGGCAAGAGATACGGAGTGACTTACATGTCCCTTTTTCGAATTGAAATTATTTTTGTTACTTCCGGAAATATGGAAGATCTGAATCTTCTAAACATCTGAAGTTTCGTTTTAATTTTATTATGTCTTCATTGGAACTTTTTAGGCTTCAACTTATAGCCAAGACAACAATCTCTTACGACGTTTCGTTTTTCTCAAACCATCATCAACCTTATTTTTTCTTATGGTGGCCATATTTTGGTTTTGGCATTGTTGAATAGCCCGTAATATTACCGCTTTGAATGATATATCACAAGTTGTGTTCCCTCAAATTCGAAATATTGAGCAAAAACTTTTACGCCATAGTGAGCTATGAGTTTTCAAATATGTCGATCTAGTGCGTTACTGTGTCGTTAAAAATGGATTTTACCAACGAAAAAAATACGAAATATGGTAAAACATTATCACAAAAACTATAGAAACGGTGCCAAGACAACGGAAATGTATCCTGAAAGACGACAACCTCATCGAACTATGTTTAAATTATTGGATAGAAATCTCGCTGAGTTTGCTTCGCTCGTAATGAGAAACTTCAGTCGTTTTGGCCATCGCTGATCATTTACTCTTTCGACGTGGCCATACGATTTTATCCTTTCACATTGTATAGTGTCCAGGATTTCATTATCTATGCCCATTTCCTCTCTGATTTCAGTTTTTCTCGCCATGTCCCTTCTAGTTAGATGGCATCTGAGTCAACAAGTTATTTTTTTAAGACGTCTTTTTTATTTATTACCCAAAGCTCAGAGCCATATGTGTTCTTCATTTCCTACCACTCTGTTTTTGATGTGTTAATTGTTAAAGGCTACTTGCTATATTCTTCATCGATTTTTCGCAACATGTATTAAATATCTTCCAAATCTTCTGCAAATATTCGAAGTCCTTTAGTCACTTTTATGTTTCTGGTTACTTTGTGCCCAATCTTTATTAGACAGGTTATATTGCCGTATGTATATTTTGAAGATGAATAATTACCAAACGCTTTTCTAATGCTTGTTTTAGGCTAAACATGTTTTCTATCGAAGAACGCTCAACACGAAAGCCGTTTTGATCTTCAGCGTCGTCCCAACAATCTTCAATTCTGCTTTTAATTATCTTTCCATACAATCTGCAAATTAAGTTGGTTACACTAAGCCCCGGGTAATTAGCACAATCCTTTCTGTCACCTTTATTGTTGTATATATTGCAGATGTATGCAGTTTTCCATTCTATGGGTATTTCTTCACCTCTCAGGTATAAGCCAATAACTTTTTTCCAGGACGATAGTTCTATGGGTACTCCCCCGGTCCTGAATTCTTTCCATTTTTCATACTACTGGCCTGTTTTTTAATTTCTTCTGGTGTTATTCATATCTAACAAGAATTACATCCAGGTGAATTGGTTTCAAAGGAGGCCCGATTTTTAAGCTTTCCTAGAAAATGTGTGTTACAAATTGTAAAGTAGTCATTCGAAACATGGGCATGTATTTATAAAGATCAGGTTTTGGGACATCATTTTTTTAACAGCACCCTGCATGGAGAATCACTTTTGACGTCAATGCTTGAAGACTATTTGGATCATTTACCTTTGATCCACTACAACTGCGTGACGTTTCAGCAAGATGGCGTCCGGCCTAACATTACAATACAGGTATGATTGTCTTTCGAGAGTGAGATGGTCAGGCAGATTTCCAGATCTCAGTGTCCTCGACACATTTTTATGGGGTACACTTAAAAATACAATTTATGGACGGGGTGAATACCAAAATATCGAATATACATCGCGCAGTGTATATCATGTAGAGAAGAGTAGAACTGTGTTTGCAGAATGGCGGACAACATTTTGAACATCTTTGGTAATTTATTTATTAGTAGTACGTTTCTCATTAAATGTACATTCATAATTTTATCTTGGTTGTTATAACGAAGCAAACTCTGTGACATTTCTACCCAATATATTAAAAAGAGTTTGAAAAGGTTGTCGTCTTTCAGGATACATGTCCAAATACGTTTCCGATACCTTGACACCCCTTCAATCCTTTTTATAATAAAGTTTTACCATATCTTGTTTTTCTTCCTTGGTAAAGTCCATTTTTAAAGATAGAGTCATGCACTAGACATTAAAATGTCATCGGCAAATTCGAAAATTCATAGCTTACTGTGGCATAAAAGTTTTTGTTCAATATTTCGAATTTGAGAGAATACAAATACAACAATATGGCGACTATAAGAAAAAATAAAGTTGAAAATGGTTTGAGACAAACGAACCGTCTTAATTGATTTTTGACCTGACCATAAGATGAATCCAAAAAGTTTCAATGAGAATGTATTTCCAGATTTTTGCTAAGTTTTAAAATAAGGACATAAAAAAATAAAAACGAACACTGGAAGTTTCTGAATTAGCGCCATATTTCCGAAAGTAACAAAAATAACTTCAATTTTAAAATGGAATATTATTGAACTCACCGAAGTGCAACCTTGTCCTTATTCCAGTCACTCTGTATCTCTTACCGTTACCAAGATCCCAATGGTGATATTCGAATTGGAGACACCCGGTATATACATGTTACTAGGTGTAATGTAGAAAGTCAAAAACTCTCAGATTATCTCGCAGGACCCAATGAAATGTGGTTCAAATGAAATATTTCATTTTTCCTTAAAGTTTCTATTCCAATAGACTTTTTGATATCTTGAGTTTCGTATTTGAAAGGGCCACCAAAATATATATATATATATATATATATATATATATATATATATATATATATATATATATATATATATATATATATATATATATATATATATATTGATACTTGTTAAGTTGGGACTTCCGCTACGTGAAGCGGGCGACCTGACATCCACTATATATACTATAAACCTTTTGATGTATATATGATGAGGGGGGCTTTAATATATGGTTTCGCATAAGAGGGGTAAATATTTTTCTTTTCAAAATTATTGGACGTCAGACCCTCTTTCTGACTTCTGCCATATACGACTCCGCGATGATGCCAAGTTTTTCATATATACAAGAAGTGACAAGGTATGTTTTACTTTTAGATTGTATATTAAGGAAGTCACAATGAGTAAAGAGTTTGTATTTAGAATTCGCTCGATATTGCAAACTTGGTTCACCCAAAACTAGATCCGTTGCACGTTTGTACGTCAACGAATGCCTCCGGGTGCGTTTAAATTTAATTTGCTGGCGGTCGCTTTGTGACATGCCGCGAATTTAGTTTTGGAGGATTTATATATTTTTTAAAAAGATGTGAATTTTGCTAAGATTTTATGAGAATACGACAAAACAGTAATAATTCTGACTGATTTTGCAATGAATTTTAGAAATCAAATAGTCACAAACCTTTTTTTAATAATTTTTGAGTATTATTTTGGTTTATTTAAATTTTTGTTATCTAAAACTAAATAAAAAGGATCAGTATATTTAAAACACTCTTTTTTATTAATCGAGGTATTAGTTACAAGATGTCAAAATCAATGTAAACTTTTATTGTTTTCTTAACTTCAGCAAATGTTGTATTTTGGATTTTATGACGGATACACTTCTCTTAGAGTTAAAGGTTGTAATAAATTCTCTTATTTTAGCTGACGGTGGGTAAGTGTTTGTTTGGAGGTATTGTGCAAACTCCTTCTGGATGCAATTCACTTCATTCTCGCTCCATGCTAAAATAAAAAATATTTTTCATAAAACGTGTTGGAAAAATTAGTTAAGGTGTGTTTGTCGTTATTTTATAAATTAGTATTTGTCACTTACATCGTTTATTTACAACTTTGGAGACTTTTGGCTTATCTGAAAGAAACAGTGTTTCGTCAAAAACACACAACAGTTTTACTTATATTCGCACTAGTATTATTAGTTTTTTGACGCCACAGTAACAAAATAAATTTATTAAAAACAAATCTGACCTAAATTTTCGTTAACTCGAATCGGTTTATTTTTCCCTCTTATTCTAATGAACCATGCCTATGGCAGTATAACTGAGTAAAAGTAATAAAAACATAGAGAATTACCTATATCAGCAGTTTCTTGATCCTCGTTCTTCTTAATGTTTTCAGGAATTGGTTGGTCAAAAATATTATTATCTTTATTAGCTTAAATATTTTCTTTTTTGCACACAAACAATATTTCATTGTCTCGTGTGGGCGCATTTGGTGACGAGGACTCTGAAACCATTTAGATATAAAATGGCAAAGTAGTAGTAAACAGAAAACTTTTTGCATGACTACCTTTAGGTTCATTTTCTTCGGGATAATCAATATCAATGTCTATTTCGTTTATCGATTTGCCTTTATATTCGACAGGAAGGGTTCCTTTTTCCATCATCAATAGTATTTTTGAAACCTTTGCGGTCTGGTAAATATCTACAGGCAGCCTGGAATAACTTCATACAAAAATAAGACTACCTAATTAGCAAAAAAAAAGAAGACAAGAGAAGAAAAGTGCCTCAACTATGCAAGTTCACACAAGTTATTTTTCTTCAATGGCCTTGTTTTTGTGCAATATTAACATGCGAAAGACAATACCTTTTTTGTAAAGAACGAGTCTGCAACTCAACCTTAAGTACCTATAATTTAAAGTTCATAGAAACATGGCTGCGAACACTTTTTTTTGGGATCTGAAACGTTTACTCTTTTGTGGAAGTTCAATATTTTTGGTGATGTTAAATATCTACAGGGTGGGGCAATTTTTGGTCAGTTAAATTTATCCTCAAGTTTTTTGTGTGATTCCACTTACTTTCATTAATGATTGAGATATTAATTTAAATAAAAACATATTAAATATTACAGCTTTGTTTTTAAACATTGTAAATTTATGTTGATAAAACAAAAAAGTAAAAATGAAATTTTGTTACTCCTATTTAACATACGCGATTGCAATACGATTATTAGAAATTGTCCCCCCGTAAC